AAAAGGCATTTACCATTACACATAAAAATTTTCATTTTATAAATTATATTTTAATATTAATTGTTTAATTCATATTTAAACTATTTTTTTAAATTAATTTTCACTTTAAATATTTTGAATAATTTTGAATGTTCAATTTTTGAAAGCGATATCTACATTAATTGATTTATATTGAGCATAACAAAATGAATATCAAATATATGAGATTGTATATTTTTGTGAAAAATTCATATAGATTTCTGAACACACTTTAACTTGCTTATTATAGAAAAAAAAACGCTCAAACTGGACGTAAATTTTATATAGAATAATGAAGAAAACTCATCTGATTATAAGATATTTTAGAATTTTTAGTCTTCGACGACGAAAGTTTTTAAACTGATTATTTTAAAAGTAATTTATAGAAAAATCTTCTTACGCGTATATTTAACAATTTTATAATTTTAATTCATTACTTTTTCCAAACTCCAATAAATCGAAAAATTAAACTCTATAATCGTCTATTTGTCATTTTCAAACTTCTTTTTATCTTATTGTATTTTTATAAATAAAGAAAAAATGATATGAAAAAAGAAATAAATAAAAAAATGCGATAACATGAAATAAAACAAAGTAGACCGTCAAGATGTAACAAAGTCTATAAAGTATAAGTTAATCTGATTCATGTTTATGGGCATATTAAGTCGATAAAGTCGTGAGAATTAAGCAAAGAGTCATAATTCTAACATTCCATTAATATATTTCTTTGTGAGAGCGAAAAGAACATGCTGGCGCTTCAAGGAGACACGTATTCGTGGGAAATATTGCACGATAGATTGGATTCCCAGAAAATAAAAGGAAAAGGTCGATGCTGACTGAGTAGCGCGATAGGAATGGGACAACTGATGGGGGGGGGAATAATCGAGTGCCATTGGGTTGGTATCTGTTTGCGAGTAACTTCCTCATTTAAAGCCCTCATTCATAGTGACGACCTTAATCCTCGCACACTCTTTGAAACTTTCAAGATATCTTCACGGACCATCGAGTGACGAAATCGCTCATGGCACTAGGTTACTCGTGCACCTCGCCAACCTTTATGCGGTCGAACGATCTACCTTGGCAAACAGCCACCGGCGCTTCTAGCGGATTACTTCGGGAATGAAAGTATGTATACTGTATGAAGCTGTACGCGCTCGCGACAACTTCAGGGTGGCAGGGTCCTTTTGCGTCTCATCGCCAAATCGCCCCGGGATGGGCTGTGCTCGAGAAACATTTTTACTCCTCCGCTTCGCCTAGTACTTGTTGAAAAAGCGACGCCTCTGTCCTTTCAAAGCGAAAGTCCTCTGGTCTGCTGCGGCAAGTCTTTAAAAATTCAGTCGTCGATTTACTTTCGCCTGATGTTCTAATAATTTTCCATTGGCTTAAAGTAAGCAAGTCTTTATTCATGTTCCGTTTAGAGTTGTTCCGATTTCATACTTGCGAAATTACTTTATGGTACGGAAATCCATTATCATTCGAAATTCTCCTCCATTACCCGTTGAATACGGCAATTCATACGTTTTATCATAATATGTCGTTTGTATAATTAAACAAGCTTTTTTCGATAAAGAAATTAAAAGAAATTAGTTCGATGTTAATTATCTCTCGCTAAGAAAACTGTATGATTAATTTTGTTCGTGCAGCCGATTACAAGCTATAGACTTTTATATCATCTGAACAATTGCTATTTAAAACATATTAGTTAAAACTAACAAATATATTATTAAAAACTCACAAAATATATCATATGAATGATGAAATTCTCAGCAAAACGTATGCACTCGTAGTCTTGAATTTATGAATCTTAGTATATTTTCTAGAGTATAAATATATTAAAATGATCTTTTATATATAGATTGAATTATTATATACATAAATAAAATATATTTATAAGAGTATTTATTATATACCTAGATATACATCCTTAAAACAAAAAATTATAAGTACTTTTATCAACAAAATTGAAGCTTATCTCAAAAGATTGTAAAGATAGAGATGTTAAAAATTTATTACTCAAAATAGATAGACGTTTAATCAAATCAAATCAAATAAAATTCTAAATTATATATTCTTAGACTGAGTTCTGTTGAAGGGAAAATAACTACACGTGAAAATTATTCTAACTCAAAAACGTAACCTAACAACATCAGATAAATCTAATTATGATTTCAAAAGATAAATTTTTATATTAAAATCAGAATAATTTTAATATAAACTAGGCGTATTTAAAATTAATTAAATATATTGTTAATACAATCAGTAGTATACTCGCGAATAAATTCAGCAAGTACTACAATATCTCTGCCAAGTTAAACTCAAACTAGAGCAGATGAAGGTCCATTACAAGTGCTTTGCTTGAATGAAACAGAAATCGTAAAAAAGTAGAATTGTAAAAACTATTAAGGAAGGGATGGATGTGGAAATAAAATAAATTAGAAAAATTATAATAATACATTTTTTAAATATATTCGCTCAGTTAACCTGCATATAATTCGCAGTAAATTATTTTTTCGAATGATTTAATATCAAATATCAAATACACCCATACAATAATTTTATAATATATACATAAATTTTCATCATAAAATAAAAGATTTATTAATCTAATTTAATATTTGATAAGATACAATGAAACGATAGATAATTATCAATAACTGATTTCGCAATTTTATATATAGTGAGAAATATATTTATTTTAAATTTTATTCGCTTATTTGGCCATTTACTTTCAAAGAACATTTATTACAAAAATTTATCATCGAATAAACATAACAATTTTATATAATTAATTCATCTCATCTTCTTAGAATGTTTTTTATTATATTTTTAAAAAAACATTCGAATATTTCATTTCTTATATATCTTGCATATCTTGAAAACCTGTCTGATAAATGAAGTTAAAGATTTAATGCAATAGAATTATATTATAAATCTATATATTTATTTAGAAATAAACTGAATTTTTACAAAATAACATTAAAAATTTTAAGAAAACATTGCAATTTTATAGTTAAAAATTATTCGAGGATTATGTTCAAGTTACACATACACAGACACATACACACACACACACGCGCGCGCACACACACGCACACATTAATTTATATTTATATACTAAACAAACATCTTTACATAATTTTCAACCATAAATGATATACTCTTTTTTCCTTCAAATTTATATAATTATTTTCAGATTTCATTTAAAATAATGATATCGATTAATTTCTCTACAATTTAAAATTAATTAGAAGCAATACGTGTTGGCTATTATTAGTCACATCCAAAGAAAACTTCTGAAATTCATTGTCTCGTCTTATATCAGTAAAAAAAAAATTTGTACTAAGACATTTATTTTCCAAACGAAATAATTTCTTCGGTATACAATGAGGATGCAGTTACTATTTCCGTTATAGTAAGTTTGATATTAAAAGTTTCTCTGTTTCAAAGTAGCAGTCCAATATTATATTTGCACATCTAATATCTTGAATATCCGATCTTTTAAATTTCAAGTTTATTTCTCATATAACTTTCATTTAATAAAGACTAATATAATTATGTAATATTTGAATAAAACTCGATTCAAAGAAACTTTTTTCGATGAAAAAAAAATAATAAAAAAACTTTATTGCAATATGCCATTAAAATGGAACATTGAGGAACAAAATACAACGATTTATACATCGAATATCATTAAATCATGATCCTTGACACGGAAGAAACTCTTCAAACATAACTATACGTAGCATCGATCAGCACTTGCCAAATGAGTATAATACGGCACTTGAACATTAAGGCAACTGAAGAGATTTCATTAAAGAAAAATGCTAATTGACTGAGTATAATTGTACACATATTTTTAGATCGACTGAAACATTTCATTATTACTTTTTTTTTTTTTTTTTTTTTTTTTTTTTTTTTTATAAGATTGTAAACAATGCATTATTGAGTCGTTAGTTTATAAAATAAATACATTATAAATAGGTTATTTTGTAAGCAATGAAATATTTTATCTAATATAATAAGAACGACAATGTTTTATGGCATGTCACAAGTTTTGGCTCTACTTTTATAAACTTTTCTGTATTCGATCATTTTAATTTTATTTCTTATTCAAGGAGAAATCTTTCTGCATTTTTGAGTAAATAAATAAAAGTCTTTCGAATTTTTTTTATATTTAGTGTAATTACTCGACTGCAAGTAACATAGTCATGAATATACGTCAATTTTAGCTTTTAGCCGTAGATACAAATTCGTTTGAGCGTAAAAACCACTATGCGCTTCCGCGAACTTTTACACTCCATTTGTTTCGGCACGCAAGTTCTGAGGTGTACGCATCTGAACATTTGGTCAACTTTGCGATCATTAATATCAAAGTTCAAATTCTTATAAATTTATTCATGTTTATAATCAAACGCTCAATGTTTTACTTACTTTCGCAATATTCATTCCTCTTCTTTTATTTACATTTACTGGTATGAATTTAATCTCGTTGCGTAATGGCTTTTTAAAAAAATTCAACTTCAAAGATTTTTTTAATAGAAATTAACTTTGTATATAATTTTATATAATTTTATAATCTGTTAGAAATGTACCCAATCGCTTCGAGTAAACAAGAAAATTATAACCTACTCTTTTAATATTAAGGCTCACAGAAGAAAAATAATAACTATATTCATTGTACATAATATAAACATACGCATACACTCTTATGCACAAATACTATACCAATAAAATAGTTCATCTAAGATCATTAATAATAGAAAAATATTTATACATATATGAAAATACTCTTTTAAATTAATAAACCTCAAAAGGTTAAAAATATTTTACAAATATTCGCCTAGTATAATAAAAAAAAAAAAAAAAAAAAAAAAAAAATTTTTTCAAAAAAAAAAAAAAAACAATTTATTCGCAATAAATAATAAAATCCAAATAATTGTCATGATTATAAAAATTAAAAAATTCCTATTATTTTTTCAGGTGCCATTTTCACTCATGACCAAAGAAATAGCAGCACAGAACTGGCCTTCAAATACGCTGTGTATAAAATTAATAAGGACAAAATCATACTGCCGAATACGACTTTGGTTTATGATATTCAATACGTACCTAAAGCCGACTCGTTTCATGCTTCGAAGAAAGGTAATTTTGCCAAACGAAAATCGTACTTTTAATTCTATTTCGACAAAAAGTGAAAAACAAAAAATCAAAGCAAAAACCTATAAGCGATTAAATAGAACATCCGTGGACAACGAGACGGTATCCTAACTATCACATCCCCCTTTCGCCGCTGCAATGAAATAGCGCTCGTTAACAGATCCGTAAAAATCGTATAAGTGGCTTTAGAGATTTACCCTTTTTTCTTTTTCATGACAGGATTGCGGCGTTTTACCGTTAACCGCGTATCAAACAGATCATTCCCGTTTATACCTGCACTCTAAAAGAATTAATGAATAAATAAAGTCTTTTTTATATTTGTTAGGTATTAAAATACCAGTTTGAATTCATTTTAATTACATTTAACGATAAACTTAAATCATTTATATATAATGAAGCATTCGAAGTCATAATAGTATTAGAATCCTTTAATCACTTACAGGATAGAAATAGGTATCAAGACGAATTTATATCATATTTTAATCTACAATTTTATTCAAGTTCCTTTTAAATTCTCAATCGTTTATCATTTTTACGAAGATACCGTATAATACTGTGCTGTATTAATAATTCTCGAGGAATTCTTGTGAAATATTATTCTAAGAAAAATGAGAATTAATTTTTATATAAAAACGACTGTTTAACAAGGAAGTGAGAAAATTAATTGGAAAGAATCCATTTAAAAATGATGTATAATGATTATCAAAATATGTACTCACGCTTTATTATGAGATCAATTTCATTTGATAAATAAAAAAAATTACGAAATTACGATTATCTCCATTTCATTTCTAATTATATTGTTATACAACTTTATAAAAAATTCGATAAAAATAGCCTTTTTTTTATTAGTGCATAATAATTTATGTAGAGATAAAGAAATTAGTTAAACTTATTCGGATAATGATTAATTAATAGAAAACGATTTATAAGATTTTCCAGTTTTACACTAAAAGCCATTTGAATAAATGAAACAAAAATTATGAAAACTTATTTACGAGTTCGATACCTCTACACATATTTCTATTTATTTTTATTATCTCTAATTATTCGTTTTCTATACCATAACGTATACAATAAATTCTTTTCCATACATTTGGTGGAAGTTTCTAATACTAATAAAATTGCCAACTTACGTTTTCGCTATTATAAATACTTATTAACCTATTATTATTACTAGTTGTTAATCTAAACTGTATTTGTTCATTTGTTTCAAGAATAATAAACAAATTAGTTTGATTGGCATATATATAAATCAATTTTACTATCATGTTGTAATATTTTAATACAACATTGTTATTTAATAATCAATACATAATTCACATTAAATTGTTGTAAACAAATTATTTTGACGAAGAAATAACGTAAAATGTTCTTTAAAAACATTCTACAATATGAGTATAATGAACTTTCACTATTGTCAAAGCATTTCTCTTTTAAAAGTTTGATTATAAAATTATACGTTAAAAGGATATGGCTAGTAAAGAAAGTGAATTTATGCTCTGGCACTTCTAATGTTAATTAATCTACTCCTAATGCTTCTTATATTTAATATTCTTAATAGTAAATAAATAAAAACAAAAAAACAAAAAAAAAGTTTTATAATGTTAATATTTTTATAAAAATGATGCTAGAAGTAAGACATCCAGTGATACGTAAAGGAAACATTGTTAAAAAGGTAAATAAAGTATATGAAGTTATGAAGTTTCAGAGTTATTTGTACTAAAGATTCAAATAAATTAGATTTAAACGTTTGTCATATCTTTATCTCACAATACAATGTTTCGCAATAGCCAATGTCGATTTCTCCACTAATAGAGTCATAGGAAAACTATCTTGGACCGAATACTATGAGGTCTCAAGAGTCAAAAAACGACACTTCTCTAAGTCTATATTCAAACATAATCTCCAGGTGCTCAACACACACGTGTTGCTTCTCCTCGTTAGAATATACCTGGTTCGCCCATAGCACCGCATTATTATAGCTCCATTGCACCAGCCATCCTAGGTTATACCTGGACGCTGTAATTTTGAATAATTTTACAAAGTGTGCTCAACGTAATTTGCAACAGTTAAAATAGACGGCAACGAGGTAGGTTCTCAAATATAATAGACCTGTCTGCACGTTTGTGGTCAACGCTCAGGAGAAAAGAAAAGCGGAGCAGTCGTAATATAAAATGATATCTACCATGTTCTTTCAGATTTTACAGTTATGCACGTACGTGTAAAATACCCAGCTTATCGATACATTTGCAAAAACAATAAAGCAGTTATGATAAGTAGGTTTCTATGAAAACAAATATATGAAAAAAGAACGAAACCTACGCACGGTTTCATTGCACACGCCTTCCTTCAAGTTAACGTCATTACCTCTTTCGAGAAAGTAAGAATCTTCTAAATATGTCCAAATGTAGCAATCTTAATTTCCTATATTAATTACATTCTGTTTATTCTATGTTTTTCATAACATATTTATATATTTCATAACATAAATAATTGTAAAATACAATATACATATTAGACCAATTAACGATAAAATAAAATATATGTTAAAAAGTTAAAAAACGAATATTTGTACATAAAATATTTTATTTTACAACTTATTTTCATTAGTATTTTGCAACGCTTATTTACATACCTGTGTGTGTGTGTGTGTGTGTGTGTGCGCGCGCGCGCTCATACAATAATATTAATTTAAATATAAAAGTATTATAAAACGATCAAAGTAATATCTATGATTTAGAAAATTGATATACACCATCGAGTAATGCCTAGAGTAATGTAGTAACAAAGCCATTACGAATCCATCGTTGGTACAAGTACGCGTAGTGACGTCACCTCGCGTGTTCAAGAGCAACACTTCAACGTCTGCTCCCGGTCTCGGTGGGCATTCTAATTGTTTGTCTATAAAGATTTTTCTAACAAAAAGATTCGCTCTTCAATCTAACAAAGCAATCTAACTTTGCATTTCTAAGCATAACAAGCTCTTTGTGCATATAATTTGATAATAAAAAATTGTAAAAGAAAAATAAGTCGATAAGAACAGTCACTATATTCTTGTAGTGATTCGATATATAATTAAAAAATCATATAAGAATTTGAAGATATCTATAATATGTTTGAAGATTAATGTGGAATAACTGTATAAATATTAAAGTAACATCCGAGCTAAATTATATAAAGATTTTATAAATACACTGATAAAATATTTTGTAATAAATTGAAATTCTCATATGATTTTTCATGGAACTGAAGAACATATTTAAATAATATATGTACAGAAATGTCTGGTCTTCATAAATTTAAATGAAACGGATATTTTAATATTCGTTTAAATAATTTTTGTGTGTAATGGAGACAATCAGTAGCAATAGCATTAGCCTTTTAGTAATGTATGCTAAAAATAAAAAATTTTCAATTATTTTTGAACAATAAAAATGATTGCATATTGTAATATTATTATCTTTTAATTCTAGTATTGTGAATTTTTAGTATAAATATAAAAATTTATGAGAATATGAAACTATGAAATTTATTATTAATAATTAAATGATATCAAAATGCCATTATTATTACAAAAATTACTGACTGATATAGTAAAGTATTTGTTAATCGAATTCTATCATATTTCATAACTTTTTATTGAATTTAAGGAGGCACATCGCATAACAAAATTTCCAACACTCTGATCCCAGTTCAAGTCAATATATTCGAATTAGGCACTGAAACGATTCAATACAAACTTAGTTTTTTTATAGACGATTTGCTTTGGTTATAGAAATGCAAACAACGTGAACAAAGCCAAAAGTTCTTTCATAAATCTTGGATCAATTTTCTTTTTCGTATAATTTCCAAGTGTCTAATTTTCCAATATCTCTTAATAATTATTTACATACGACATTCAAAGCGTCTATCGAAAATTGCATTATGTGTGAATAATCATGGACGACGTGCAAGGGAAGAAGAATAAAAATCTATGTGACTTAGCAGAAAACAGCCGACAGCGGCGTCACCTGAAAACGAATAAAAATTGATTTGGAAGCTCCCAGGGCGAGAAGATTTAGCGGACAATTACTTCAATTGTACGAGTCAGAACACTCGCAGGACTTGGTACTGCCCTTACTGAGTCTGTCTCCTTCAGAGAAACATCAAAGAACTTCTCTTCGGGCACAATTGCTTTCGGAGGGTGAAAGGCCTTCGATGAAAGAGATATTTGTCTTTGGCAGATACTAAATCCGATTTCTACTTACAGACCACAGTCGAAGGCTAAAAGAATTATTCCTGAAAACTGTTGTTCCATATAAGAGATTGAAATAATGTTTTTAGATATAGCAAATGTCGAAACTCGTAAATGTATTTTCTTAAATATATACTAAACTAAAAATATTGCGTTGAGCATAAGTATTAAATGAAATGTTCATAGTAAAAGAAAATTTTTTAAAAATATATTTACCCTGTTTTGAATGACGCAATATACAGTCTAGAATAAATGTACCATAAAAGTAAGCTATAGCGGTATAATTTAAAATTATTTATCATATACGTAAGTTATAAAAAATATTTCGAACAGATTAAACTTATTTTATATAATGCGATATATATATATACATATATACATGTGACGTCGAACCCATTTTTTCCATATTATTACTGGTAAAAATAATACAATGACTGTCTAGTAATATATATGTATATATATATATATATATATATATATATATACATATATATATACTTTCCACCAACGTTCCTTGTCTGATTAAAAGAATGAATGCATCATATCTACATTTATCGTTATCGTAGTTTTGATGTCCTATAAAATTCA